AACCGGGTGTCGTACGCATGAGCTTCCCGTACTTTGCTGACGACGCAGAGGTCGACTACATTCTAGATTCGCTAAACTTTGTGGCGGATCACGGCTGGAAGTTCCTGCCACAGTACGAGTTTGACATTCATTCGGCTGCGTGGCATCATACGTCGCGGTCTGCGGACAATCTTCCGACCAAGAGCTGCCTATCAGAACTGCAGTTCTTCGGCGACGGCACAAACAGCACGTCAACATCCGAAACTCCTATTCACAGTATTGCAGCTCATCGTCGTGAAAATCTCGAACAGGCCGCACTGCAGGCGGATGCGTGCATGAAGGAGGCGGCTCTGCTGGATTCCTTCCCTGAGGGCCAAAAGGTGCTCAAGAGCCACGAGTGGCTGCGCTGGTTTGTCTACCCGTACGAGGCTGTAGCGGACTACAAGAAGAACGGCGACAAAGTGGCGCTCACCGATAAGATTACAGGTCCGTGCCAACCGCAACTCTACGGGGAGGACGCGATGAACCACATCTGGGACGGGATGCCGTCCATGTCCAAGCTGAAAAGGAGCCGCATGGGACGGCTGATGCTCCGTCATTACATGTCGACCCCCTGAACAATATTCAAGCCAACGGAACGAGGTCTCGAAGCAAGAGACATCGAGGTAGGTTATATGGATAGAGGATGTAGTGACCCAGTCAAACGTCGCGTATCAACGGAGTGTGCTATATGTAAAACTACTGTACAGTAGTAGTATGTTAACGGTGGCGGGGTGAATGCAAGTCCCGTCGACGACACTACAGTGTACAGTACTTGGAATTTGGATGATTAGCTGTTAGGTTTAGTTACATTTCTGCTACAACGAAGTACCCAAATACTTCCTTATGTTTTCAGTTACTACAGCGTCATTCGTGTATTCAGAATAAATTAAAAATGAAAAAACTCAATGGTTTACCTTTTACCGGTTCAATGATACTGTATGTACAACATATCTCATAATACCAGTCTCCACTTTTGCAGTAAAATTAAATTTACTAAAAAAGGTAGACTCTCCTAGGTTTCTTGGAGCGGAAGCTACCGTCTTCCCCCGCACACTACGCCTAGGCGTTATGCGACGAAAATAATATGAATGTTTGAACAAATCAATCAGGGTCTACTTTGTTTATAATAGTGGTGTAGGTTTGACCCTCCTATGCTACTGACCGAGGTTCGAGCCCGCCTTCGTGCACTTCACAACATAAATGTGTGTATAGTAAGGGTCAGTTGTTTTCTTTCATTTGGGGACTGCATTAAAAATACGAAGGTTTTATTATTTTATGAAGAAAATATTTGCACAAAACATATCTTTTTTCTTTAAATTTTTTTACCATACAAAAGATTAAACAGCACCCATCCACCTCAACTGCGAAGTACGATCCGCTACGAGCTAAATGCACCGTCTTCATCGGGTTCTCTACTTCGTAAGTAAATGTTGAGACCACCTTGCAGTCCTTGTCTACTGTAGTCACCTCAACGTTCCAGTTGTGAAGTTTTGAAGCGGCATAAATCTCCAACTCTCCTGGATCTGTGTCTCCGTTTTGAATATCCTCCAGATACTGCGCGTCAATGAGACCGTCGAGATCGTCCAGGGTTTTCATGTAGTCCACCAGCTCGTAAACAAAGTCGTCTATAGCAGTTGATGTGCCAAAGAGTAAACAGTAGAACAAGCTTGGCCTCTCGTTCTCGGTCAGGTACCAGGAAGGAGCGGATATGCAGAGCTGCTCTCGATCATCCGCTTCATCAAGGAGATATTGATACGATGCGTGCCATTTCTAAAGAATTGGGTCTCCTTCCTTGAACACACCACCGCTTTAGAGAAGCGCAGCCGGATATCTTCGTTCCACATGCCAGTACTATTCACATCTACCAGAACACCATCAGGGCACTTCGGACGATTCTTTAGTTTTGAAAAGAGAAGGTGGGGCTTCAGGATGATTCCAGAGGCTGTAATCGCAAACGTAGCAGTGAAGCGCTTATGACTTGTCCCTCCCTGTTTTAGAAGTACCTCACGGGATCCACGAGTCGTGATGGTCGTCTTAGGCTCGTTTTCAAAGTACCTTGGTACTTGGTCAATGTTAACGATGTTGTCAAGCTTGATATTGTGCAGATCGATGAGTTGGTGAACACGATGAATGAAATCACGGCAAATCTCTCCAGCATTATCAGGCAGTATTCGTGTAGTCGTCTGACGCCGAGAGACGAGGTTCTTCCGACGTTTAAATCGCGCCAACCAACCAGTAGACGCATCAAAGCCCGATGCCTGAGGACCATGTAGCTTTCGGTAGATGTTCAGAGATTGCAGCCGGATGTAAGCGTCCTTGACCCACAGTCCTCTAGTATTTCTGTCTAAAATCCACTTATGTAGACGACATTCTACATCACTGTGCTTGGCAGGTCTTCCTCCCCCTCCCAGCCTTCTTGTTGTACGCGTGGTAATATCACGGTCTCTCAGAGCTTCCTTTAGTTTGTCGCGGAGATCCCACCACCCTCAAATTGTTCCTGGAGCTATTTGGTGGGTTTTCCCTAGAGCAAAGAAGCCTTTTCCTTTGACGCCTTTGGCGTGTTGGGACAGGATATCCAGCTTCTCTTTGATAGTAACGGGGTACGTAGCCCTAAGTGTACCCTGGTTACATGAAGTGTGACAC